TTGTTGCAGGTTTGACTCAACCAGCTCAACAGATGTTAATATGCTAGATCTGATACGAATCATGTGTCAAGAGCATTACATGGGCTTCATGGTCAACCAAATTGCGCAGTTTGTAGAACAAGCCGATAAAGCAATCAAGGTCAGGTCTTGCCTAGTAAAAGCTTTTCCTTGTCCACTCTTTTTTAATTGTATTTCAAATTGGACCTACTTTATACCTTTACACTTACTCCGTCTCCAAGATATCCATTGTCTCCTTTCTGTCAAAATAATGAGGTAGCATGAAGCTTCTTTTCAGCCTCAAGAAGTTGGTTTTGATGTTTCGAGCAATGCTGAGTATGTGTTATCTCAAGTCGATGCCACAGAGCTAATGCTAATTGGCAACTCAGCAGCAGAAATGTCAAGAAGTAAGTAATCTGCAGCCGCGACATTGAGCATTTCGCTTGATATGACACTTATTTGTTTTCTGCAAACTTATGCTTATATTTTAGTCAGTGGTAATCGATCAAGAAATACGAACCAACCGATCCTGCAATTCTTCCATCCTTGGGGCTTGCAGGTAAGGTTTTCTATCTGCAGGAAATATGCGATTTGTTAACACAGTTCGAAACAAACATCCATTAGGTGGCCAACGAAGTACGTGATCCCCGCGAAGCAGAATGGAGAGGGTTATTATCTGAAATTGGTCCTATACTTGAAAGAGCAATGAGAGTTGTTAGGTATGTGAATCGCAATGTTTACAAGGGCCCCATTACATACTCATCTTCAGATGCATGCAAAATACAACTGGTAACATCGTGGAGGGACCTTTGACATGGAGAGCATTGACCGGGAAGAGTCAGCATAAATCTCATTCTCTGAGCCACGACGACGACATAAGCCTACCAGAACCAATCCCATATATCAATGTTGCGGCAGAGAAAGATGCGATTAGAGCTGCACCACATGTGAGTGTCATTCAGCTTGATTTTCTGACATTTCAATAATCTTTTCATATTTTATTCATCCCTATGCTTTCGCGTGGGGCGATTAAAGGCAGCGACTAGGCAAATCTGGACATATGGGGACCTTACGTAAAAAGTGATCTTAGGACCCTAACTAAGACACTGCCCAAGAGGCAGCTTAGATGCTGCACTCACCGCCGAGATATTCACCTTCAAACCGGGCCCCTGGATCGTATCCGCATGGATTCATGGC